ATGCAGGTTCAGTACAAATGTTTAAAAAATAAATGAGCAAATTAAACACAAGGGAAACTGTTGGCAGAGCTAACCCAGAGAACTTATTTAGCGGTAATTATTGCGATAGCTATTATATGGACACTCCCTGCGGGTTTTCGCCATCACCGCCATGTTCCGTAACAAGTCCAAATCAATAACATGCCCATGTGCACCATAACTTTTATAAGCACTTAAAAGCGCGTGAGTGCTGCTGAATCAGAGATCAAATGATCCGGCCAGTCCCTACCACCTGGCGCATATGATAACATTCCCTCGCGTAGTACTGCCGTCGAATGTTCAGTTAACAAGAAAACCACCCGTCTTAAACAATTAAATAAAAGCATGGGGGAGAGGGGGGCGAGATCGCTTGAGTAGGGACGGTGAACTTTGATTTCAAGGGCAGCGCCCGCGATCGCTGGCACATGCGCTATCTCGGCAAGCATCAGTGCGCCTCAAACGCAAAGAGATTGTGTGAAAAGAGCAGTTCTCTACGGAGCGGCCGTATTTGCTTACACCAAGGTTTTGTAGGAATTCCACAATATCGGATCCAAAAGAGTTGGCTGCCAGCCTTACTTCGTATAACATTACAATTTGTTGTTGGCGATAAACGAGTAATTGCGAAGGAGGCAGGCTCATTCGCGCATGCGCCCGCGGCGGCAAGAACGGCGGCAACGTCGATTCGTGGAGTGCACGCCTGCCTGCTCACCTCGCGCACACCTGCACGCAATAGCAAACGCTCGCTCTCGCATGAAAATCGCCGGGACCACGAGCCACCGCATCCCGCATCCGCGCTTTGTCAGTGGCAGGGCAACAGCGGATGATGAATGCTCATACCAAATACATACCTAAGACAAAATTTTGTCGGCGCCGAAAATTGGAAAGTTGTCTCCCGCTGTTACTATATTACATAAAGGTCGCAAATACATGTGCTTTTATGAGGTAATGGCGGGAAATATTAAAAATTCGTTATACCGAGTAATTCGCTACATGAAGGTTCGTTATAAGCAGGTTTAACTGTATCCGAAAATGTGTTATAAATGTGTTTTTAATACTATGTCTATTGCTAGACTGTTTCTAATTTCACTTTGATAAACTAATATTTCGCTATATGAAGGTTGAAGAGTACCGTATATACTCGTTTAAGGGTTGCACCCCCAACTTTGAAAGCGGAAATTTCGAAAAAAATATTAATAAAGTTCAAAAAGTCCTGCCAGAAAAATGTAGTTAGTTCATTTACAGCCAGATGGCACTGCAAGCTTTTTGCGCTTTTATTCCACTTCCGCCGACGCACCGACCACGCAGTTTTTAAAGCGCGCCGCCATATTTGCCTTGTGCGGCCTCTTTGTTGGCATCGTTCCTGGCAGCGTGACTTCAAATCGGTGTCGTCGGTGTCACTTTGTTGGTAGTAGTGAACCCTGCAGAAGCCAGCGCACGTGACGGACGATGGGCCGACATCTTAGATCCTTCACTGCAGCATTTAAACTGCAAGTGATTGACTATGCCGAGGAGCACGGGAAGCGAGCAACTGGACAAAAGTACGACGTCGATGAGAAGCGCGTGCGTTACTGGATGGAGCAAAAAGATGCCCTCGCCGCTACATACAGGAGCCGAAAGGCATTTCGCAGGAAAAAGTGCAAGTACCCGCAACTCGAAAGCCAGCTCCTCAACTACGTCGTCAACACACAAAGAGACGGCTACGCCGTATCGACCGACACGATACGCGTCAAACCGCTCAACATAGCTCGCCACATGGAGACACCCCAAGCACAATTCAAGGAAAGTCGGGGCTGGACTACGCGGTTTATGAACCGTAACCAGCTTTCTATTCGGCCCCGAACGACGATTTGTCAAAAACTGCCGCGCGAGTACGAAGACCATGTTATAAAGTTTCATCGCTTCGTGAATGCTCTCAGGAGGGAGCATGCGTACGATCTGTCCCAAATTGGGACTGCGGACCAGACACTTGTGTGGTTCGATGCACCGAAAAGCACCACAGTAGATTTGAAAGATGCGAAAAGTACGCCTGTGCGCACGACCGGTGCGGAACGTCAGAGGTGCACTGTGATGTTGTGCATAATGGCAGATGGCAGGAAACTTCCGCCGTACGTCGTATTTAAAAGGAAGACTCTCCCAAAAGAGAAGTTCCCTCAGGGAATCGTCGTACGTGCTCAATAGAAGGGCTGGATGTCCGACGAACTGGTCGTTGACTGGATTAAGACCATATGGGCAAACAGACCTGGACGGCTGTTACAACGGAAAGCCCTCCTTGTTTTGGATAGTTTCAGGGGCTCGTTGACCGACCGCGTCAAGAACCGACTTGCCACAACTCGTACGGACTTGGCCGTTATTCCCGGAGGCCTGACGAGTGTGCTGCAGCCGCTCGACGTATACGTTTAACCGTCCATTCAAAGTGGGATTTCGCCGATGTTACTCTGAATGGATGGCTGGAGGCGTTCATGAGACTCCTACAAGACGGCTGAAGCGGGAGTCGCTCCAACAGGTGTGTGAATGGATTTTGAACGCTTGGCATGCCATGTCAGTAGAAGTAGTTGCGAAAAACAGGCATTTCGAACTGCATGAAGGGCACTGAAGATGACAGTCTTTGGGAAGACACGGACGTCGAGGCGAGCTCCTCTGAGAACGAGGACAGCGACAGCGAAATGGAATCTAAATAAAAACATTCCTGGCATGTAATTTATGACTCTCTTGCACTCTGCTACGGTTGAATAAACAGTACAGACCTTTGGTGAGCTGTCATCGGCTTTATTCGTTAGTGTAAATGCCGCACCTTGCAAAATTTTCGAAAAAAAAAAAAAAGTGCGGCCCTTACAAGAGTATTTACGGTATATCTGTGATGGGACTTGTGCAGCTGATCAGATCGTAAAATCCCGATAATAGCCCGGTTCTTTTTTTTTTCTAGATTTAAGGGTACAAATTTCGACCCCGTACTGTATTCGGGTCCCGAGAATGTTCGGCCGAAATTCAATTTTAGTTTCGGCATAGTGCGGTACTATCATCATCATCATCAAATGTTTGCACACTTGCGCACTAGGTGCTCGGTAGTGTTAGCGGTGGTAGCAGACATTGATCTTACAAATGCATGCGTAAAACACTGGTCAGTGGCTTTTGCTTCAACTTTGGGCCCATAACGACAACCACAATATTGCTCCTATGATTTTACACCATAACAGCACCGCGCAGGCAGTCTGCTGCTTTTAAAAGGAAAGTTATCGCTGCTGCCGAAAGCATTGGAAACTGTGCCGCAGAGCAGCATTTCAAAGTCAACAAGCGGAATATTCGCAGTTGGCGGAAGCAAAACGACGCCCTCTTTGCTTGCAGCGGCCAGCGAAAGTTTGCGCAGACCAAAAAATGAAGCATTTACTGACGTGGAACAAAAACTCGCACGCTTGGTGCGGAAGCAGCGAGCTGTACATTTTGCCGTTAACATTGAGCTGCTACAAGCGAAGGCGAGGGAAATCGCCCTAGACAAAGGCACTCAGCCGGAGAATTCCAAAGCGAGCAAGCATTGGGTGTATTTTGTCATGCGCCGCGCTGGTTTCTTCCTATGCTGGCGTACATTCATCTTGAAGAAGCTACCAAAAGCTACGAAGAGGACCTTGTGAATTTTCAAAAGTATGTAATTACATTGCGAAAGGCTGTCCCTTTCAGCTGGGCCAGATCGGCAATGGGGATCAAATGCCGGTGAACTTGGTATGCCCTCGATGCAAACGGTGCATCTGAAAGACTCCAGGCAAGTTATCGTGCGTTTGACTGTGAACGAAAAAAACAAGGGTGACTGTAATGTTGTCCTGAACCCCAGGCGGTCGCACGCTATCACCATACATGCTGTTCAAACGAAACACACTGCCAAAGGGGGAGTACCCAAAAACTGTCGTACGCTGCCAGGAGAAGGGGTAGATGGACGAATTGCTAGTGCTTGGCTGGATAAAGTCCATGTGTTGTCAACAACCCGGAGCACTGCTGCATAGCTCCCTTCAATGCTTGTGCATGACGGGTTTCGGTGTGACCTGACCGCCTCTGCAGAGCGACTTCTGCCTGACTCCCGCACCAAGCTCGCAGTCATCCCGGGAGAGACATCACAGCTGCAGCCACTTGATGGGGGCCTTAATTAGCCATTTAAGGACTATGTCAAGCGCCTGTAGACGGAGTGGTTGAGGTCCGGAGAATCAGAAGCGAGCCCTGCCGGACAGCTAGAACGAGCCTCGCCAGTGATGCTGTGCTCTTCGATAGTCGGGGCTTGGGCCTGCATTCCCGAGGTGCTCGTTTGCCGCTCGTTCAAAAAGTGCTCCATCTCGAACGCGCTTTATGACACTCAGGATGATATGCTGTGGGAGAACATTTCCGACAAGAGATCTTCGAAAGAGAGTGCGTCCAACGACGACTATGAAGGAAGTGTGTCAATAAATGCATTTTTCGATTTTACTCTGGCTATATTCGAGTGAAAGCTTTCTTTCTCGAGTTTGCTATCTCCAAATTACAACCCGGACTAATGCAGGTCCGAATTATATGCGGGACTTTTACAGTAACGAAATATCAGTTATACCAAAGTAAAGAAAAATGAACGGTCTTGCAATAGATATTCAAGATTGCAATAGAAATTTTCGGATTATTTTAGTGTACGATGCAACTTTGTTATGATGAGATTCGATTGATATGTGGAGTTCAACGTCCCAAAACCACCATATGATTATGATAGACGCCATTGTGCAAGGCTCCGGAAATTTCGACCACCTGGGGTTCTTTAATGTGACCCAAATCTAAGCACATGGGCCTCAAAATTTTCGCTTCCATCGTAAATGCAGCCGCCGCAGCCGGGATTCGATTCCCGCGACCTGCGGCATAATGAGATTCGAATGCACTTCCTGTTGTTTTTTTTTTCTCCCGGTTCATTTTGAAGTAACTGCGATTGGTTGCTTTTAATCTTTTTCACAACATGCAGAAGACCGACCAGCCCATACCCGAAGAATGACAAGGTGCTTGTCCTGGTTGACCGGGGCTTGGTTTGGCAGATCCAGGCAGCGAATGTTGAACTTGCCAAGGCGCATCTGGATCTCCCGGACCAGCTGCTCCACCTCGAGCAGCCGCTTGTACTGAAGGAAGTTGCGCGAGGCCCACTCGCGCTCGTTGAGCCCATTGCGCCTTGAGAACGCCCCCTGCCTTTTCATGTCCTGCCACACCTGCGTGCCGAGGCGCGAGAGAGGATAAACGTTCCAGTTATGTCCAAATGAAACAATGGCTTATTGAAAACTCACCAGACCGGTCACCAACACGCAAAATGACACATTCGTGGTTCGGAATGTTCCACTGATCCGAATGTAGTAAACATTTAATCTAATATGTTTCGATTTTACCAAACATTGGTAACTTGTTCTGTTATTCTCAATGTTTGCATAATTAACGGATTTAACCGGGGGGGTCCCACTACAGTTGTTTCACTTGGGAACCTTCGCCTGTACATTTGGCGATCATGTAATACTTCTTTTGAAAGCAATAACTGAAAGTGAAGTGCACCTAATGCGAGCTAGATTAAATTTTCAACAACACTGCTCACTCGGATTAAAAAAATATATATAGTTGCTAGATTCGTTTTCTGCATTTTTTTTTTCTTTTTATCAACCTTGCAGGTGTTTAGTGCCCTACCAAGTGGTCTTCATACCTTGTAGGCTTTGAGCATGGCCAAGCAGTCACTGAAGGATCCTTCAGCCCACGCCATGCGAGATCTAAAAGTCAGACAAAAAGCAAACATAGCATGTCATGACCTGGAAACATCCACAACGAATACGCCGCAAAGTTCACAGACTGCATGACAAGTGGCAAAGTCAGAGCGTGACAGCTGCTTCAGAGCCCTCACTGGCAGCGCGCCACAGCACAAGGGGCCCGCCCAGGTGAAAGGCAGCCGAGCTGAAAGGCGTCGCATCTTGCGTTCAGTTTTCGGTGGTGTGCACATCTAGATGTGAAGCAGCTTATGGTCGGGGCTTGTCTGTCGTCGTAGCCATGCTAGTACTCCATGTGCCCACTAGATAGATGCATCTTGCTAGGAAGCGCAGCCACTAGAACACAGAACACACAACACAAGCGCTTACCTGCTGAAACTTGCTGAAGGCAACATTATTGACACCACGGATGACATCGTTCTTCCTGTATATGTGAAAGAGACGTTAAGACGAGGTCTCAAGTACGCTGTTGTAAGCGCTTGTGTTGTGTGTTCTGTGTTATAGTAGCTGCGCTTCCTAGCAAAATGGATCCTTACCAACTGGCCCGATACAATTGTTTATTGACCCACTAGATGGCTCTGCAATAAGAGCGCTCGCTCCACTCCGGCACGTACTCTGGTACGAGTGGAGACCGCTGGCGGCGCTGTTCGGCTCTGTACAATAAAAGCACTTACTCCTCTCTCTCTCACACAGCGTTGTAGCATGAAAACATGAGCATGAGTGCGGCAAAGGCAAGGGCTCGCAAAGCAGTGTGCGCAGCCATGAAAGCCAACGGTGATGAACAGAGCACCCATTTACAGAGCTTTAGACGCACGGCTGCTTCGCATACTACTTCAGGTTCCTTTTATGGGAAGCATGTGTGTTTCTCCAAGAGTGGGAGCAGACACATTGAAAGGCAAGGCTGTGAGAAGGAGGTGAGGGTGAAAGGGGGAGGAAACAGGTGCAGTGTACTCTTGACAGGAATGGTCCAAAGGCTGAGCGCTCGTCTTGCCAGTAATCAGGAAGAGAAAGCTAGGATGGCCAATGGCTACTTTCCACGCACCTATAGTATCGGCACTTGCCTCCTCTGTTTCACAGATAGGATGATGCAAAAGGGATCATGACGAGATTTCAATTACTGGATGAGGGTCTTCAAACGCCAAAATTAGGTTCAAAATAACTGTAGAAAGGCTTATACACTTTGAGTTAACGGGGTTTCTCAAAAAAATACACAGTACGTTGCCAGTACCAGCCGTACTGTTTGAAGTATACCTGCCAGTTAAAACTAAGATTTAAAATCGTCAACGTGTACGTCAGTGACGGGACTCGAGCAATGTCTTGCCTGTGCGCAAGTACATACTCACTTGTACACTTCAAGCAACTTCTGGAATGGCCTTGAGAACATCGATTGGATGGAGAGGCAAGCCGCTGCACATAGAAAAAAAAGAAAATTAAAACCTGGAAACACAGTAACATGTACCTAAAGCTATTCCAACATCTCGCAAAAAAGCCAAGTGGCATTTCATGCTTGCTAACACTTTTCAAACAAGGATGTACGAAAACTGCCTGCACAAATACAACAGTGGCATAAGCCACCTTGTGGTACTTCACAACAGCCCGTCATCCCCACTAATGTCGGTGCAAATGTTGCAAAAGGAGGGTGACAATTTTTGTCTAGTCTGGACGGATGTTCCAATTTCTATAGAAAAACTTGTTCAGAGGCAAATTTTTGTTCAAATTTTTGTTTTTTCCAGAGCTAACAGCAGAGTAGAGCAGCGTTACTTATTTAAGTGGTAATGCGATTAATAGATGAAGTGTGATGTTGCGTGGTGCCTTGTGGTGCAAGGGCCAGAATCGGTGGAGTGTTAAGGCGCAAAAATCATTCCGCTCACTGTTGTGGTGGAGCCATATAGAACAGAGTGAGAAGCAGGAATCATAGTGAACATTACAGAGAATGACCACTTCACCAGACCCCAATGAACAGCTGTTCGACAATGGACATAAGAATATCAACTAACCGGACATACCATATTTACTCGCATATTCCTCGCACTTTTTTGGCGGAAAACGGGTGCAAAGTTGGGGGGTGCAAGAATTACGCGAAGAAAACTTTCCAGGAAAACGTACAGAGCGAAAAAACAATGAAGTGGCCGCAAATCGGGATTCTCACACCAGCAACTAACAGCCAAGCTTTGAGAAGTACTAATTAAAACTTACCTCAACAATAAAAAGCAGAGGTTCAACACAAGGCCAGATTTATTCGAGACACAAAAAGTGCAATCAAATAGTCGAAAATCAGAATACCATACGCAAAGCTTGTGTGCGTTGCGGACGTAGCAGTAGCGTTCGTCGCTCAACAGGAGCCCTCAAAAGGTAAGCGTAGGACGTCAGTATTAAGTTGATGGTTACTTAACAGAATCGTCCACAGTTTCCTTCTGAAGAAATAAAGTTTGCCATCAATCTCAGTCTTAAGCACACGGCAGGCCCAACGCGTCTTGGTGGCTTTCAGCTGCCGTCACTAGCAGCGAAACACAAAACTCACCGACTCCGAAGGGCCTACCGGCGGCCCTGTTGTCGTTGTTCAGTGCACGGTCAATCACTTTCAACTTGAAAGCAGCTGTGTAGCTTCAGTATCACCCCATAATATGACAAGATTACCGACACAACATACAAGACATGCCGCAATGCGCACTTGCTGCTTTGAGTTGGCTTGGATTGAATTGAATCTCAGTGCAATACAGTATGCTTGATGCTCAAGAGATGGCGCCACATAGCGTGCACTATCATCATCAGTGGCTGGAACGAGCAGACGACATTATTGCCGCAGTTTTCGGGGGTGCGATAATTACGCGAGGAAAAAAAATCGTATTTTTGTTGGGCGATGTGGGGGGTGCGAGAATTATGCGGGTGCGAGGATTACGCGAGGAAATACGGCATTTGTCAAGTTGTATTCACCAAGTTTAAAATCGTCGCAAGTTTGGCACATTAGTAAGGCTGCATAACCACAGATAAAAGGCAAGCAACAAATTCCTGGGGTCGCAACACAGCTTTGGTGGCCACAGTGCAACATTACCAATCCGCCAAACCTGCCACCACATTTGTCGGCCGAAGTTTCCAGTGCAAAGGATTAAATGAAGAGTTAGTGACCGTTGCATACTTCTTTCTCACAGTCCACACTTTTATTACCGTATTTACTCGCATAATCGACTCACTTCTTTCACAAGAAATCCAGCTCCAAGTTCAGGCTGCACCTTTACGCGGGGTTAAAATTTTGGAAAACATTATTTCCAACTACAGCATAGATTATTGATACGTATACGTCACCGAAGTCACGAATATCCCCACTACATAGTGTGAAACGTGTTGAGAATCTAGTCTTGTGTGTCTGACAATCGAGGCATGTGATGTGGTGTGCATAAAAAATTTTCAAAAATTAACATCAATAGACCCGCGCTGCCGACAAAATGAACACGAAAAAAAATTTAAAAAAGAAAAAGCCATGGTGAAAATTCACAGATCACGTTTAGGCCACCTAAATTGTGCGCATTATCACGACCGAAATTTTGTGCACCAAACAGTAATGATTGTTCGATGTTAACCTCACGCCGCATATACAAGACATTACAATCAAATCAAAAACCACCATTCGAGTGCTACAAGCGCCACCAAAACCACATTTTCTTTAAGTAGAGCCACCGAAAAGAGTTACATAGATTCCGCACTAAACCGCAGCTTTGATCACCCACAACTGCCACCGAAAAGCGTCAAGCCTAGCAAGACTACTATTCAGCATGTTGCAAAAAGTTTGTACACGACATGAAGACTAGGCATCGGAAAGATCGCACTCAAGCAACTGATTCAAGAGCAGCGCGTGTGATACGATGTTTAGATTCGCTGCCAGGCAATCAACGACAAAAGTCCACCGACCTTGTGCGTCAAGTCCACGTAGTGGCAGCAAAGGCGAAAACTCGCGCCCAAAAGCCGAAAAGCCTTTAAAGTTGCGGGCAAGGTAGCAAACGCGATAACGACGCTTTTCCGGACAGGAAACTCAATGCGCACTTGACGAGGACACAGTCGCATGTCCCATGCGGAGTGCACGCGGCCAGATTTCCGCCAGCACCAAGTTTACTCTGACACCCACACAACCGCCCTTCTTCCACACTCGGCGAGCCCGCGGAGCTGGCGCAGTGGTGCCGCCGTCTCTTTTTATTTCCATTTTCCTCGATTCAGTTAACGTAAATATACGGTACAGAATTACTGATCACGGCCAAGGTCGGGGTGCAGCTATCTTGCGTGGAAATAATAAATGTTGATTTCTCGCGACCAAACTGGAGGTGTGCCTGTTATGCGAGTAAATACGGTATAATCTATTTGCTTATTTTCATGTCACCAGGTTTCGTTCTGTTCAGAAACTAAACACCAGAGGAGAGTTTTCTGGTCACGAAACGCAGTACACATCATTTTCAGAGGTGCTTGAACAAATTATGGGGCACCTTAGGGGGGACATGGGTCTTAGAAGGCCAAAAATCGCAAAAAAAAAATCGATTTTTTGAAGCTGACATTTTCGGAATCTGTACCTATTTTTGCACCTATCTGAGAAGTTTCTAGCTTCTCACGTCATTATTTCTGGTGCAAAATCAATTTATAACATCCCTGTGAGATGAATGCAAGCGCAAATTGACTCTAAAATCGCGCTTTTTCCACGCCGAGCTGTTGCCGTTGCACATGAGCTATCGTGTTCATCTTGGTCTCGGTTAGAAGGGTCGTTCTTCATCTTCAATTTCCCTTCACCGCAGGCTCGCCTTGCTCATTGTTTTTTTTAGCAAAAACGCGTCATCAAGAAGCACTAGCGCGCGATTCAATTGACTGCTTGGGGCACGTGAGAAAACCTAGGCATCCGATTGGCCAAGGGGCTCTTTTGGCGTCTGCTTCACCATCGTGACGTGCAGGTACATGCACAATTTTGTCATGGTGCTACTGACTGCCTGCGGCAGTAAAGAAGTTCAGTGCTCCAGTAATTTGTGAAGCGGGTGCGGTGGTAGTTCGTTCGCTGTGAACTTCAGAAAGAGCCCCGCTATGGCTCAGGACGACGAGAATAACGAAGTCGTCGCGGTCAACGGCGATCGCCGAGTCACCGGTGTAGGCCTAACTCACGTACGAGCCCAATGGTTGCCGACAACGTTACTGAGAATCACTGTGTTTTGCAGCCTCATCAGTTAGGAGACGGCAAGTAAAAAGCAGAAGTGAAGCTACAAGAGATATCAATCTTCGTAGTTGAGGAACAGAAGCGCAGTCTTATCGCTAAACGCGCCAATGCCGCGGTTCCCCCGCAAAACAAAAGGACCTTGATCTGCGCGACGGGTCGTCAGAGTGGAGTATGCCGCGCGTCCACGATCAACGGGAAGTAAATCTGTTCGCGGTGAACATGCGCGCCGCCCCCGCAGTGGAGGCTACTGGCAACAGGTAGACTGCTTTTAATGACGTGTTCGCAACGTTGTCGCAATCTCCGCTCGAAAATGCGGCAGTCTTACGTGAAAGGAAAACTAGCACCTCGGCACTCGCGTAGCCTCGAAATCGATGAGCTGAGGAAGCAAGTTTGGTTCGCGACATTTACGGGTAATCCATTCTGGACAAGCCGGAAAACATCGCAGTGTTATTCGACGGATCGCGGATGACGCGCGCACAATTGTCGCACATCGCCGTCGGTACAGACACCGAACTGATAAGCGGCCTCGCGGCAGACGAGCACCCGGCGACAACTTGCTACAGGACTAGAAGAAATGACACGCTCGCGCAAACAATCAGTCCTATTACATTCCCGGTGCATATTAACTGACTAAAAGTATGTGTGCCATGATAATTTTCTCTCGGAATGGCGAAATAAAGTTTTAACAGCATTATTCTCGAAGCACAGATTTTGACCACTTTCTCTTGCTTGTTCGGTAAATCTGGACCTTAGGACAGCTAGAGCTGTAATTGTTTTTGCACAATGTAGCTAAATGTGCACGAAAAACAATGCTGAGAGCGTATTTCTAATGAGCAGCTTCATTTTTTTTATTTTAATATAAAAATTTCTGTATTTGGTTACATGCAATGAACTTTACTGTGCTGTAATTCGAGAAGTACTCATTCAATTTTCGATCAGCTTACAGCATTGCACTCTTTAGGCTTTCTAAGCACTCATTTATGTGTCAATGACTATGTAATTATAATTACATACATTTTTACAGTTAAAAATGTTAGAATTCTCTTTTTTCTTCATTTTCTTGAAATGAAAATTACTGCAACATATCTGAAACAATTACAGATAGCAGAATATATATTTTTTTTTGCAGCATGAAGCTACATGTTTGGAGCACATAACATAGGAAGCAGATTTTGATTTCTCTTGATGCAAGTTTTTCAAACTAGTCTTTCGTGTGACCACACAATGACCACATTCAGGGCTGTGAAGTTAAGTGTACTGTGAAGTAAGAAATAATGACCCAATCGTGAAAGTGCTTCCTATGTTGTATGTCTTATGCTTTCTACTGTCAATCCCTATGTCATTTATAAATTTTTGACAGGTGGTTTTTTCTATTGTGGTAAGACAATAGAAATTATTATCGTGATTATTTAATTAACTAATGAAGCTACAGAAAAAATAACTACATCTTTTAGAATCAGGAGAACAAACTAAGTAAGCATGCCAACTTTAGTCACATTTGGTTAAAAAATAAATAAGAGAGCTCCAAGACCCATGTCCCCCCTTAAACCCTGCCATACAAGTACTTCACAGTTATTTGTGCCAAAGTCAAAGCCGTAACCTACTCACCCATGATGATGCAGTCTTCCATCACGCCAAAGACGAAGCCGAGCAGGATCATCTTGGTGAGGCAGACATCAATGGGCAGCCCTGCCATCACCTTGCCAACAAAGGTCAGCTCGCCGTCGTACGGGCAGAAGGTGCCGCCAACCACCGTTGTCAAGGCACTGACCTAGAAGGTCAAAGAACGCCACGTGAAAGTCGAAAAACAAAAAAGCGCACTGTCAATTGCCTGACCCTTTCGGGTGCAACCTAACAATGCACTGCCTGTAAGTGTACAAATTTTAGATCATTTCAAGGCACTCAAATTTCTATCGCAACTAAAATATGATATGTTGATTATTGTGTCATATAGTAACTAATATATAGTAATTAACATCAATTGTGATGTCATTCATTTCACTTCTTTCAGTGACACTTCAACCACTTCAACACACTGCCATTATCATTGATTATTTCAGCTGAACAAATTTATCTGAATAACTTCTGATGTACAACATGGAAGTTGAAATACCGTATTTACTCACGTAATGGACGCACTTTTATTTTCCTCCTCGCCCCGCCGTGGTGGTCTAGCGGCTAAGGTACTCTGCTACTTACCCGCAGGTTGCGGGATCGAATCTCGGCTGCAGCTGCATTTTCTATGGAGGTGAAAATGTAGGCCCGTGCGCTCAGATTCGGGTGCACGTTAAAGAACCCCAGGTGGTCAAAATTTCCGGAGCCCTCCACAAATATGACGGCTTTGGGACGTTGAGGGGAGATGCGGGTCGAAAAATTACGTTTTTTGCAAAAATTTCCCCTTTTGAGATATTGTTTCTAAAATCACTTTTGATCATTCAACTATCATTTCCCCAAAGGTCATAGCTGAATTCAAACAAGAAAGTGGTATAAAGTCGATCTGCGCTAGCGAAGGTAGCTCCCAAAGTCGCGAATTCGCGCATCTGACGGCTATTTTTGAAAATCCGCCACTCGGCAACACGATGACGTCCGCCATCGGGGTTTGTTCGGTGACGTAGATCAAGGCTCCTTCTAGTGTACAGGCAGTCTCCCTAGTTTCGTATTTTAGTGAGGAATTTCACAAAACAGTCGTTTCCAAGTCGGTTTACAGCCAAGCTGCAGCCGCTTCGAGCATCTCTACTGGTCACATGGTACGCTACCGAGGCCGCCATTGGCTACATCTGATCGGCCTCGCTCGCTGAGCGCTTGCGACGATCGGCACTTGCCGTGCGTTTCTACGTTTTTCCGAGTTCACCATAGATAACTCGAAGAAGCGAGACTTCCGAGCACAAAAGTTTGCAAGCAAGAACAAGTACCGAGGGCGTCGACGTAAGCCGAAGCGCAAAGCAGCGGTAGAAGAATGCAAGCCGCGGGCCACTAGGCCTAATCAAGGCAGCGGGGATATGGCGGCTTGCGGGAACTTTGACGAAATCGACGCCGCTATCAAGTTCATCAGCGCATCGGAAAAAAAGATTGAACAGTTTGAAAGCGAGAGAACGAAGAGTGTTGGTGGCTCTGTGAGCAGAGTATTTTGCGACATCGGCGCGCTGACATCAATGGTAAGCTGTGCTGTTTGTCCAACATGCCACACCGCTGGACTCGTCCGTCGCGACACCGCAAGTAAACGTAAGGCCTCTCTTCGTTCCTCGAGCTGCACTGTGATAACAGTGAGTGTCCTGAGTCGGTGGTTTCTGTCGCGCATAGTTCGCGGCGTGTTCTGCCGGAAAGACAGCCCACCGATGCCGGTGATGACTGGAGCTACCGAAGCGGAAGCTCGCGCGACAGCTTCGCTGTCAATGTGAAGGTAGTTGTGGCTGCGCGTGCAATAGGCATTGGGCATGAACAGCTGTTGCGTTTTTGCGCTATTCTTGGACTGCCAATCATAAGACTTTTATTGCAATCGGCAAAAAAGTTCATGCTGCAGCTACAGAAGCTGTGCAAGAAAACCTGGCGAAAGCGCGGATGATAACTAAAGAGAAAGTGGATGGGGCTGATGTTGCTGTCATGTATGATGGCACATGGCAAAAAAGAGGGCACAAGAGCCACAATAGCATCGGCACTGCTGTGTCTGTGGACACTGGTTTGTGCCTAGATTTTGAAGTGCTATCGAATTACTGCTTTGCCTGTACCCGGCACCAGGACTTGGGTGATGAGGAAGAAATATGGCAAGCATTCCACACACCTGTCTGCGAAAAAAATACAGAGTGCTCCTCTCATGCCATGGAGACTGAGGCAGCTTTGCGCATATGGGGCAGGAGATCCTCATACACAACACCATTGCGCTTCACCAAGTTCCTCAGTGATGGGGACAGCAAAGCTTATACCGCTGTCGCCGAGGCCAAGGTAAATGGTGAAGTTGTTGTGAACAAAGAGGAGTGCACAAACCATGTGGCCAAGCGTCTAGGCACTGCACTTCGGAAACTGCCAACACGACTTCCACGAGGGAAAAAGCTGACAGATGGCACAATTCAGAAGCTGCAGAACTATTACCGTATTGCAATCACAAACAACAGAGGTGATATTCTGAAAATGCATCGTGCCATCTGGGCCTCATATTTCCATTCATCATCGAGCAACACAGCAGACAGCCACCGATACTGTCCAGAAGGGGTGACTTTCTGGTGCAAGCATAGGCGAGCCGAAGCGCTTGGGGAGGCCCCACCCGACCACACACCAATCTTGACCAAGGCTCAAGGATTGGCTGTGCTTCCCATTTAGAAGCGCCTCACAGATGAAAAGTTGCTGGTGCGTTATATCCAAGGGAAGACCCAAAATGCTGCAGAATCTTTGAACAGCAAAATCTGGTTGTTGTGTCCGAAGACTAAGTTTGCCTCCCGGACAACAGTGGAAACTGCAGCTGCTATGGCTGTGCTGTGGTTCAATAAAGGACATTCAAGCTTTGAACACGTGCTAGAGGAGCTTGGTGTAGTCCCACCAGATTAACTGATCACCCTGGGCCAATCCCGCGACCAGAGGAGAATCTAAAGAATGTCTGTGTGTGAAACAGCCGAGACAAGGGCTCATCGGCGGAACATGGCAAAGAGAGCGCGCCTTGATGACTCCCTTCTCAAGCGGCGAGAAGGATCCACATATGGAGCTGGACAATTTTAGGTGCTCTAGCTGTGTCCCTTCTATGATATCACCAAGTTTTGTGCAAATCGCACTGTGTAATCATGAGTAAACATATTTACAACTTTCAAATGCATTTTTCTTGATTTCCATTTTGAGGTAATTCTCTCATCTTGTGCACAATCTTTTTTATGCATAAAATAGTCCTATCTTGATGAAATTTTGCACAGAGCTTAATCAGCCACTCTAGAATACAAGATATCTACTTCAGGTTGCAATATACATCACAGATGTTTTGTTACACAACTTGATACATTGATAGAGAGATGTAAAATATGCATTTAGTACTTTTAATTTTTTTTAATGTAGCAAATAAATTTCCTACTTGAGGTACTTTTCTGTATTGTACTGCTCAAGTGCAGCAGAATGAGCCATTTTGCAATTCTGTGTGAAAATTTTTAGTAAGCTTTATTCTGTGCACAAAAAACCCTATATTTTGATATCAAAGTTGTAGTAACTCCGGAACTACTATAGCTATCAAAAAAATAATTGCAGTTATGAAATCAGCACTGCAAGCTTTACTAACACCTAAAATTTCAAGGAGCTGGGTCATTAAATAAAAAAAAAACTTCTTTCGAGTAGCATCTCCCCTTAGACCCCACATATCGCTAAGGTACTCTGCTACTTACTCGCAGGTCGCAGGATCGAATCTCTGCTACGGCTGCATTTTCTATGGAGGTGAAAATGTAGGCCCGTGCGCTCAGATTCGGGTGCACGTCAAAGAACCCCAGGTGGTCAAAATTACCGGAGCCCTCCACTAATATGGCGGCTTAGGGACGTTAAACCCCACATATCAATAAATATTTTTCCCTAAGAAAATCGAAAGAAAGCGGGGATGCATTTATTATGCGGGGCACACCTCCTGAAAGTATTTAAGGGATGAGCAAAAATTCAATAATGACAAAAAAAATTTCGGCCACTTAGCCTTTCGAAGTGTGCCTTTTTCGGGTACGTAGTCTGCGCTGTCGTGATCCCGGGGTGCTGTGGTAGCGTGGTGTAGCTTCGGGTTGAGGAAACGACCGCTTACAAGATGGGGATACGAAAAACAAACAAGGTTTATGGCACTATTTACAAATATTTACAGCATGAGGTTAAGAGTTCACAAACCACGAGCGTGGTGGTTAAACCTTTTCTTGGTTCAGAGCCACGTCCTGCACTCTGAGGCGCCGTTATAAGCCCTGTCGGGCTCCTCCTTCTTCAGTGGAACACCAATCACATACACACACAACAGGTGAGGGGTACGAGCATGCACGGCGCACGTGAACAGCCAATTTCGAGTCAAGATCACTGCACTTAAAGGTGGCGCCAGAGGGGCTCTTGCTCGTCGTGTGTGTCACTGGTCGAGGGGTCCCAAGCTTCGGACAGCAGACATCAAACGGTCCGCCAATCTGTCTGCTCAATTAGCAGGGCACTTTGTGGCGGCGGTCGCCGTTTCTACAAAGGAAGACGCTGTCTTTGTTGTCCCCTCTGGAACGGCTTACCGCTTCGTGGCGACGTGACGTCTCATCCGCCGGCTAGCAGGGACAATGCCTGGCGGGCATAGGCATTCGGCGAGCCGGCTACCTGTTTGAAGATTAAAAGAGCGCCGCTCCCCCGTCATCTCTGGACGCTGGTTCCGAGAAAACTGGAGTTCCAGGCGTGGGAACGCGGCCCGGCTACGCTTCTCAGCGACAGCATGGCGCCTGCTGACGCCGGTCATAACAGCTTCCCCCTCGCCAGATGAGTCACGGAGGGCAGCGGTCAACACTGCTGCTCGCAGGGACGACGAAAGGGTCCGTAGTCGAATCCCAAGAACTCGCCTTCGCTTGTGGCATGGTCTGAGTAAAGGCCGAATCTTCGACACCGTTTCTGCAACTGGACCACATGCACAAGCAAGCACTCGGCCCCCTTCGAACAAACCAAGCCAAAAGAGGGATGACAAACCAATTTTAATTACTAGCCTTAACAAAAGCTCACTCTCAGAACTCTCAGGACTCACTTGAGCCGAAAAACCAGACGTGCTACCTTACAAATTTACATAAGATGCACGAAAAAAGGGCGGATAAG